GGGGTCTGGATCCATTAATTGTTTGTCTGTTGGGAGTTTTCGGGCTGTCGGGTGGAGATGGGGAGAACAGTTTGAGAGTGCTGGTATTCATTTTTGTTACATCATTTAGCTGAAGGTTGTTTCTTACAAAGATAAAACTGGTTATCAGAAGGACTGGCTTACAGGACAACAGCACGAGTACTTTGCTCGTAAATATTGTTGTACAGATGTCGTAAATGTCAGACGCCCTTATCAACACAATTTATAGAATCCAATTTAGGAAGTAGGCTGCTTCCGCCCTGTATATTAGGGCCGATGGTGTGAAATCTATTCCAGCAGATATACCGTTCAGAGTGCAAAGAATACAAATAGAGTAATACGGGGTGGCCACTACGGATGGGATCGGCAGATTGGACTTGGTCACCTCAAAAACAAACGTCTTTGTTTTCAGTTTCAGGCAACCGGGTCGGGCGATCGGCCCGATCCAGCCGTAGTGGGCACCCGTATAAGCGTGTCTTCCCCATGTGGAACTCAAACTCAAGCTTTTAACGAGCATGACAAAGAGCCCAACCATTACGCTCCAGCTAAACATCGGCTTGTATCGTTTATTATAGATGAGGTGGAGTGAAGTCCAAGTAACAGAAAGCAGTGTTAACATATTTTTAATGTGTGTGTTTGGTTTTTGGTGGTGGTTGTTTTTGTTTTTTGTTTTGACACAATTGAGATCATCTAGAAGGCGGGCTTCCGGTCCTGCCCTGTCAGGAGCTGAAAGGGATATACACATGTAGATCTAGCACCCCAGCAGAAAGACTGAGATACTAGACAAAAATGTCTCCCAACTTGGGAATTGACCTCGGGTCTCCTGCGTGCGACATCGAAGCGCCTAACCGCTATACCACAGACGCCATTTAGAGAACAGTGTACGCACGTTGATATCTAATAGTGCTGGGCCTAGAAGCGATGAAACCAAGTAAGCTATTTTCTCTAAATATAAGCACGACGAATATAGTATAATATTATTGTAAACCCTTACGTTTGCAAGCACGTACAAGGTAGCAAGATTACACAGCAGAAAACACACGGGTATCCAAATCCATCAGCTCACAACTCAAGGGTAAACACGTACATGTACTTTTAACTAACACACACGAAGACAGAAAAACAAACATGCAGACACTCTCAAGGGGGCTCTCGAGGTCTTAAGGTTAAGGTGTTCGCCTCTCATTCAATAGGCCCTGGGTACGATTCCGGAATGCGACGGGAAAATGTTCTTCTCTAAAATTTCTCCTTTTACACCCTTTCCTGCTCTGTACAATGTTTTGTCGTCTGCTTTCGTCTCCACTTCCTGCTCTCGTCCCCTCACCTCCTTTGTCCACTCCTCTGGGTTCCTGACTCTTTCTGCATCCTTTCTAAAGCTACTCCTTGGCTCCTTCTTATTGTTGTCTTTCAGCCCCACTCCTGATCTTATGGTAGGTAAGATCTATACCTTGCCTTCTCGGACAAGGGTGAAAAATCTGGGAGGTCCCGTGTGCAAGTTGCGCACGTTAAAGAACATATTATCAACCTGACTGGTGCCTACCGCTACCACGACAATCTACTGAATAGTCTGAAAATGCACAGTTCTTTGAGTCCAAAATCGATAAAAGTAGGCTTCGGCCGCTACGAGAGCAAAATTCAAAATTTCCTACCGACTGAAAATGTTTAATGTGTCCCGCACGCTCATGTGACCTTATAGAGATGCCATCGCCGTAAAACACTTACCAGAAGAAAAAAGACACTCTCACCAAAAACCAGAAAGACGTAATTCATAAAAGCTACAGAATGAAAACTGAATACTAGCGCTTGATTATTCTTCGTTTTGACAACCACCAAAAAGACGAGTAAAGACGCCTCCTTCTCCCCTTTCTCTCCACCAGTAGCCATCCCCGAAAAAGAATATTGAAGAAGTAATGAAAAGGCAACGCCGATGTTTTTTTCATACAAATATATTATTACACACCATGAAAGTCAGTGCTTTACAACGTCATTGTTAATACAAAAAAAGTCTTAAATGTCATACAATCATGGAATGTTGAAGAGATTAAACTTTCACATTTAAAAAAAATGTATTATGTTTGTCATTTCGAAAAAGAGAAAATAACATTGACATTTTCACGTAATTAAAGTACAAATGATAAGTATAGGTATTCGGGCATTCGTGAAGTTGTGTTTCGTACATAACAGGTTCACTCTGAAAAACAAAAACGAAAATCTGATGAGATAATAATAACATGGCCAGAGATATTAAACCTTCACCATGAACATGAGCGTCTTCGTATGTGTGTGTGTGTGTGTGTGTGTGTGTGTGTGTGTGTGTGTGTGTGTGTGTGTGTGTGTGTGTGTGTGTGTGTGTGTTC